CTGTACCGTTGTTAGGCTAAATTGAATTCTGGAAAACTCGCAAAATAGCATCAATATTTTATTGATGTATGCGGAAGTGTGAGATGAGCAATTTATGTGTAACGATCATCAATTGAGTCCGTTGTTAACGTTACTTGCTTAATTAAGCAACAGTGAAGCAGTTACGCCCACGTATCGACTTACGGATTCTATCTAAAAATATATTGTCGATAACCAACCTTCGGTCGATTACTTTCACATCAGCTCTGTTTTGGAGACACAAGATACAAAATACGATAAAAACCTGTAAACGTTATTTTTATAGATATACGATATATTCGGTGGATTTTTATGTATAAGTACATAATGATTTCTTATAATTTATTAGCACAGATAAATAAATTGATTTTCTGATCAAACAAAATATATGTTAAATATATAATTAAAATTATTACACCATGAATATATTCAAAAAAGCATCTAAAAAGTATCTAAGATCACATAATTTAAAAAATAAGAAAGTTAAAATTTAAATATAAAATTGAAACTGTATTATAAGTTTAGATTTATAATTTATAATTTTAGACACACTAGTCAAAGTTTTTTTTCAAAATATATCGCTTGACTTTACTGTTTATTGTTACTTTCGTGATAATGTATGCAATCGTTACACAATTTGAAAGTTTGTGAAAGCCAATAGCGCATTGAAAGAGAGAGAGAGAGAGAGAGAGAAAGAGAGAGAGAGAGAGAGAGAGAGAAGGAGAGAAACAATTAGAATGCTAGTGTACAACGCAATGTAATTAAGATCGCATTGTCTTCGAAGTAATTTATTATTCTGAAAGTTTCAAAGTAATCCTAGAAGCGAATAAATTTGCGTCGTCGCTTCACGTTACAATATTTCGTACTCTCCGTCAAAATTCTCGTCGAAGAACTATGTATATAACGCTAACATTTTTAACATGAATTGATAGTTAAAACTCATGCAGTACGCTATCTTTCATAATAATAATAAAAAATATTGGCTGTGATAGTTGCTGGCCTGTTTCGATACTTTTAATCGATTACAGTTGCAAAGTCACGCGATATGGAAGTTGATTCGCAGCCCTTGTTTCCGCCTTTCGTTTATCAATTCTTCCGAATGTAGTGCAATTTTATAACAATGGTCCGGGCCCCACCCGGCAATATATCGCGTTGATTTGTCGATGGGTATCATGCCTAGGGATGATGTAACGTTTTTAATGGGTTAGTTCGATATGGGCAATATAGGATAGAACCCATTTCGAAGAATTGCGAGGGTGCGCCGTTAGACAGGATACAATCATCGTTTATTTAGAATGATCGCGAAAGAAAAATTGTACACATCAAAAATTCAAATTTGTTTATCTTTGAATATTCAAAAAATTATCTCTGATGCTGCAAATATTAGCAAATAATGTGTATGTTTAGTAAATTAATCAGTAAAAGAGAAGTTTCAAATAATTAAGAAACATAAACAATAATTAATATGAGTATAAATATAATATAGTTAAAATATAAATTAGATTTTTAATTAAACAGTGCAAGATATAAATTTTTTAATTAATGAATAAACATTTCTGAAAAATATATCGGACATAATTAAAATAAGAAAACAAAATAATTTAAAATTTATTTTTGCTTAAAAAGAAACACAAAACCGAAGATAGACATTAATACCTTTAAAAATTCACCTCTTTATAAAAAAAAACTAAATTAAAAATTATGCTTTAAAAATTTATAAAAATTTCTGCCATAAAATACATATATATTTAGACAAATATCTTAATAAATAAAAATCAAAAGATACAATCACAACGAAAATAAGAGTTTAGATAGTCTATTGTAAATCTTCTACAAATCCAGCAGTACCGCTCTAATTAACATCATTTTACAATTAAACAACAAAATTAACATTTTTATTTTTAACAATTCAACTTACCGTTTATCATCGGTGCAAAGCTCGCTGCTAAATACGTTTTATCCACAGTCAATGGCACGGCGTGGCCCGCCGTCATCTGAATCATCTCGACTATCTAGACCGTATTGATCGCGGCCTAAGCAGCTGGAGTCGGTCTGACAGTAACGTTGGGGCGGCCGCACAGAAAACACACGTGTTACACGAGCAGCGACACGATGGAGTCGAACTTGGCGTCCCTCATGAGGGGTGAACGAGGTCGTTGAAATTTGAAATCGTGCAGTCACACCGGTTGTGCGGATCTCACGGATGACTTCCGATTTTCGTTTCCCCGAGACGGAAGCGTCATTTCCCGACGCAGCGCTTCCGTCGTTCGCGAAACGTGTTTGCGGAAATTCCCGCCGACAGAAGATTCGATGAATCCTGTTCGACCTGATCAATTGTTTTTACTGGAACGTGTGCGGAAATAAAAATCTTGCTTGCTAAACTAGTCACGCTCGTTTTATCCCTTTTACGCTCTTTTCAACCGTGTGCAAAGTGAAAGGTTTTCACGGTGATAGGGTTGATTCTGTTGTGTCACTTGCTGCGGAAATGGCTTTGGTGTCGTAGCACGTTTTGTTGTTTCTGGAGATTGTTGGATATCGATGTGTCAATTACACTGAGTTTACCCTTCTCGTTTATCGTGAAGCTAGTTTTTGTATCCATGTTTATCGTACGTGATATCGCGTTGCACAATTTGCAAGATATTGATAAATTTTTGTGTAAATCCTGTGATCGTTGTTCGAGAAATTATTGGTAAGCGAAGTGATATTATAGCATGAATAATTTTATCAGTACCCACAGCTGTCGCCCAGAAAATGTATTTTCTGGTACATATTTACATTCGGAACCAATTAAGTAAAAATATTACAACATATATATGTGCATGAATTCGGTGCGTAAAATTGTGATAAATTTCGATGAAATTTTACCTTAATCGCAAATAGCAGGAAATAGCTCTGTGCTGCGAACAATCCAATTTCATGCTTTGTGCCGAGAATATTTACCCTAATAGAAATTTTCATCGATGCTATATCCCTAGCTATAAGGAAAAAAAGAGTCGCTTCCGCGTTAGTACCCTATCGATCACAGGCGCTTTTTCTGAAAAGCGTTGGAGATACGAGACACAAAGAGACACGGTCGTGCAAGTGCGAGGGTAAAGAGCCTACGGTCGATTATCGTTCATCTCGTCGAGTGGTTATCGCATCTTCCAGTGGGGAAAGCACTGACGCGGGAGGAAGGGAGGAACAGAAATTCCATGTTTCCTTTCCTCGGGCTCTCTACGCGAGGAAGTTACGATACGCGCGCGTTTATGTAACTTCGACTATATTCCCACAAATATCACGCGTTTCGTGAAACGCGCTTTGGATCGTTACGCACGATTTGCTTTCAAACATTTCTTCACCGCCGTTATCATTACATCGGAGGACAAAAGTCATTGCAACACATCATTCGTTATTATATAGAAAGAATGGTTTTGCTGAAGTATTTAAAAATTTAGCTAAATATAGATTCGAAAATAGTTTTATCAGATTATATCAAAATAAATTATTATACATGAGACATTCAAGCTAAAATATCGAAACTTTTTGCGACGTCGTTCATTATGTTTGATCCTACAATTATTTTGATAGTCTAATAAAATTATTTTTAGATCAGTACACTAAGAGAAAAATATACTAAATTTTAATAAATATTTGTCTAAATAGTACTAACTTAATATTTACTTACAGCAGATTAAATTAAATAAAGATAGTACATAAATAAAAAATAATGTTACAGTTAAATCACGCAAATTAATAGTCCTAGTACTAAAAATGTGTATTTACATTTAGTAAATATTTAACTAGTATTATTTAAACAAATATTTATTAAAATTTAGTACACTTTTTGCTCATTTATATTTTTAGCAAAATTGTTCTTTTTATGTACAGTAAATTATTCATTACAGTCCACGCGTTTGTTGCAAATTACAATTTAATTTATTTAATTTGAGATTGATTAACTATCTTCAAATCCAAACTTGATCAAAGAATTCACAAATGAGGAGACGCGACAGTTCCGCGACAACGTACGTTCACGTGTTTGTAAATGCATATTTATAGATGTCAGAGAAACGCGGTACACATACATTTACATAAGATCATACATGTGAATGTCAATTTTTATTTTTACTTTTAAAATACGACTGTTTAACATATGAACCGTTAATGACCAATATGGCATTTGACTTAAAGAACGTCACTGGGTAACGTCTGCTTACCAAGTCCACGTGACACAGCTTGGCATTTGAATTCTCACCATTCGCGATTATGTTTCAGTTTCGACAATATCGGTGGTAGGAAATAACGTTCTGCTTAACGTTCACCTTACAAATAATTTTTTTCTTTTTCTTATATGTGTATTAAATTTACGAAAGAGGTGTGCTAATTCAGTAACTCTTCTACGTGCTAATTGCTAGACACTAATTAGTACTCAAATTACTGATAATGAGCGACGTAGTGATGAAATTGTTCCTCGTTGTGTATACTTATAAAAACTCTACCATAAATAATTTCTACGATCAATTTTCTTTAAATAAGATGTTAAAATTTAATCAATTTATAAATTCGTAATTTTTAATTTTAAAATGTTTCCCGAGTAAAAATATAAAAAATTGTGTACTCGAATATAATTCGTAGTTTCTGCATTCTATTGAAATTATAGATACTAAAAAAAGATGATAAAGTGAAATTATCTAATAATTATTTTTACAGAGACAGGACGTTTCACCTTTGCTTGGAAGTGATTATTAACGTCGTAGAATTTCCGTGACCAAATTTCATCACAATTAACGTGTGCCTCATGCGTTTAGACGCGAAAGACGTTTTTCCTCGCTTCGTTTCTCTTGTCCTTGTATCACGTGACTCCAAACTTTTTATAAATCTTATTTTGACTTCTATTTACTGAGATAGATGTGCGCGAGTACAGTTAGTTACTTTAGTCGCGAACGAACAAACTGACTTGTTAAACGAGAATAAAAATTAGAAATTTGCTTTAACAAGTGAACTTTGGATATTAATATCGTTCCGATGAAGAATTGTTACAAGTGCGGCATAAGATATGTTAGTGGAGAGTGCGTTGGCTCTGTTTGCGCTTGTTAATCAGTTCAATTGAATAACGTATTAATACTCCGGGGTCATCGCGAGAGTTAATCGCAATGTCCACGCCGGACACGATGGATACCATCGACGAAGCGGAACAAGCGTGGCGTGAGTACAAAAATACTTCGTCGACACTTTTTTATAGATGCCACCTCGTCAAGTCGTGAAAAATCGTACACGACCTTGTGACACATTCTCAGACGAATATTTTTAATAGGAATTCAGTCTGTTAATGTAATATATGTGTATTAATAAATTTTACACATTTCTCTTGGCTTCCAAAATGCTTGAAAAAATGCTGAAAATTAAGTTTTTTTAGAGTATTGTTAATGCGAATGCAGTAAAAAATATTTAAAGATTATTTTAATAAAATTTAAAAAGCAATTTAACTGTAAACTGTGTTTCGACAGATTGATTTGCATTCATTATCAATGCAATGATAATGTTGTTTTGTTAGATAATGTAACAATGCAAAATGATGATTTATCGGAATTCGAATGCTGATGTTTATTTAATATATTCCATGAATTGTAAATCGCGTACCCGGCGACACGGTGCGGCGGTAAATCGTGCGACAGCGTTTCTTCTTATTACTCATACTGTTCGCGGATATACAATACGAAAGATTCGGCCGATAGGCATGTAAAATTAAACGCTCGGTACACGCATGCACAATTCATGAGTCGATACCACGTGGTTTGCTCGACATCAAGGAAAGAGTTTAATTTTTATCTTGACAGCGCGTAGAAAACTGTGACCTAGTTCGCGCTATTTCAGTGTGAAGAAGTTCATAAACGGAAATTTTTTTCACACGTTGCATAATCAAATACATCGCGTGCATTTTGGCTGCCAGCTGAACTGTATCAAAACGTCATAATATTTAGATCTAGTTTATATATGGCATTGTAGAGATGTTATCACGCTAGCCGTAGGGTTTGGTTAGTCTATCGTACAATTGATAAAAATGATATTAAAGTGAATTCAGTGACGTCATATTCACTACTCAATAAATAGTAATGCTATACTATATAAGAGGAAGATATTTGTCATACTTACAACCAATATCATATCTTAATTTTTAATATTTTTGTTATTGATATTACAGAAAGATAAATATATATATAGAACATAATATGTATACATATACATATCTTTATGAAGTAAAAATTATACGTTATGTTATTGCAGCAATTTTTTACAGTGTATTATTATAAACGTTATATCAGTTTTATTTTCAAGATTACTAAATCATCATTTAATTTCCTGTCATTGTATTAATAAAACTATTTGTTTTATTATTAATAAAAATTTGTATTTGTATATTTAAATATATTTAATATAAATATTATTCTTATTGAATCTTTGCTCTGTGAAACACAGATTCGCATTTTTAATTTTATCAATAAAAAAAAATTCTGAGAAATTCTAATAAAAAATGAAAGAAGGTCAGAGATTAAAGACGTGATTCAAGTAGAGTCAAGTAAGTAGTACCCTAAACGGAATTTTTTTTGCGTTTCCAGATGAGATGCTGGAGTGTGAGACCGGGTCCCTTTTAGGCAGAGTGGCGGATCTCGAAAGGCAATCCTTGGCGCAGAGGGACGAGATAGTTTGTCTTCGCGCCACTTTGGCGGACGCGTTAAGGCGAATCGCTCAGCTCGAGGCAAGAGAAAAGCGGGAGGATGACAGGAATGAGAGGAGAAACGAGAGGATGGTGTCCTCGCCTTTAAGGAACGGCCATGTACCTCTCAGAAGTAAGTTGGCAAAGTTGCACATTGATTATATAGAAGCCCGCTAACGACCAATGCCTAAATGTGATGCCTAAATGATTTATAATTTGAAATATGATTATCTGTATATAAAACACTACCAGATCAAAGCAATAATAAATTAATCGCAAATATCAATAGAGATTGTTAAATAATTATATTTTTAAACAATACAATTTGTCGATTTTTAATCTTTATGCAGTTACATATTAAATTATTTATTTGTTAAAATAAATCATATTCTTTGATTACTTATTTTATACGGTTTATGTTATAATTTTGTTAAAATAGTAATTGTTATAAATTTTCCATTTACGATATACAATGGAAATAATAAAATTAATAATATTGAGAGAAGGCTCGACAATAATATATAAAAATTAAATTAGTATAACGGTCAAAACGAGCCGAAATAAAAACAATACACTTCATAGAAACAAAGACAATATATTAAATTAAAGATAAAAATAATAAAACATAAGTAAAACAAACGTTTCGACGCCGATTGGGTCATTTTCAATGTTAACAAATTTTCAAATCTTAACGAAATTGTTACAATAAAAAATTTTTTTAAATTATGCGATATGTTCGAATACTTGAAAACATTATAGTAAATCGTTGAAGTCGTCGGATAAAAATTGTGTTTGTCCATTATTTAAAATTTGTTAGTTGGTCATTGTTGTGATAAAAAAACGGTGTTACAATAATCAATATTATCTTGTCGAAAGAAGAAATATCTTAAAATCGAATGGAGCAAATTTGCACAGAATTGATAGACGATGTTTATTGTATCAAATACCGCAGCACACAATTTTTATCTGACGACTTCAACGATTTACTACAATGTTTTCAAGTATCCGGACATATCGCATAATTTTTAAGAATTTTTTATTGTAATATAATTTCGTTAAGATTTGTTAACATTGAAAATGACCCGATCGGCGTCGAAACGTTTGTTTTACTTATGTTTTATTATTTATCTTTAATTTAACATATTGTCTTTGTTTCTATGAAGTGTATTGTTTTTATTTCGGCTCGTTGCCCGTTACACTAATTTAGGAAATAATAAAATTAATATGAAAAAAGTTAATTACTAATTTCTCGATTACGCACGATTCAAATTTCATGATAATAAATCTGGATCGATAATTGACTGACACGACTAAGATCATATCTTTTGTTTGTGATAACGAAAGGAAAGCTGATTCAATTGATCGATGTGAGATCTGTAATGTAAACGATTGTCGGATTTGCCGCACCTTCGCTGGTAATCAAGCCACAAATGCATACCCTATTTCTCTTGATAATCGCCGTTGAATATTTCCATTGTTCAGTTATTTCATCATTGTATTATATTGTAATCGTACAATAATGAAAATCATGTATATATCAATATTAACAAATGTGACATATGATAACTTATATATGTCGTTAATTACCAGTCAGAATATTAACATTGCACTTTTTAACACACAAATATTTTATTATATAATAAACTATAATAATTACTAATATAAGTAAGCTATTTTTTATTTCCTTGATCAATTTAATTCATTATTTTTAATAATTATATATAATTCTTATAATTAGAAGTTTACAATTAAAAATCGTCCCCTGTTATTTTACTATCAAAATGCAAATGACAACATGTCTTTATGAAATATGCTTTTTTTCCACTTGAAGCATTGATTGCACATATATCTATCGTGAAGATACACGTTCTATCCTGACACATAATATCATATCGTAAAATAATGGCAAGGATTCATCGCAGTATTGCGAGGCGCAAATTAATACGTCGACGTAAGTGCGAGTGGCGATCATGCACGACATGCAACCTAAGTCAGGCGTGTATTTCCGGCGAGCTCGTGCGCGGATACCTCTAGAGTAGTCTAGAGTTTCGTATGTTACGATAGAAATTGCGGATGCGAGGAAGCCTCGTCAAATCGCGAGTGTTCGAGCGTCTGGAAATGAAGCTCGAGCCGGGTGTTGTACCTGTTGGCACGCGACGGCTTTAAGGTCACGTTCAGTTTTGCTCGTTGCAATCGAGAAACCCACTCACGAATGTGAATGGATTCACGTAATTGTTCGTCAGTCTTCAGTATATTCGTACAGACCTTGGGAGAGAATTCTTTATTCCGCACGAGAATTCGGGAATGATCGAAGTGAATACTGGAATGCGCTGACAAAATATAGAGGAAAGTCATATAACATGCTGTCGTACATTTAGACACTGTAAAGTGCATATTAAGAATAACGATTGTTCGTTCGTTTTATTTGTTATTAAATTATGAAACATATTTCTGTGGAATATACACGGAAAGAATGATTTTGTTGATGTATTTAAAAATTTAGAGGATTGAAGATATTCAACAAATATTTTGTTGAATTATAAAAATAATTATTAAAAATTCGAGGATAATAAACAGTGCTACCAAAAATCTTAATATTTTAGCAATTATCTTGCATTTGAGCGTTTTACAAAATTATTTTAATAGCGTCTAAATAAAATTATTCTTAGATCTGTGTATTTCAATAATTAAGTTTTTAAATACTTCTACAAAACCTTTCGCGTAGAAATGTCATAATTTAATTACTCTCTTTTTACGTATTAAGTATATTTTGCCACATGTATATACATTTTATTCTTTACTTTTTAAAACTAGTTTCGTTTGCTACAATTATTTTACGGAGAAGGTAACGGAAACACCCTTATCTTATTTATTCTCATTAATTCTCTCGCGCAATCGAGGTGCCAGCCTTGCGAACGCAAATAGTTTTCTAATTGTTTTCTTTATGTTCCCGCGATTGAAAGCAAGCGAATATTCCTTTAACCCCTGTCAGACAAACTGCAGGAAATGAAAACCAGAATCGCTGACGTGCATAAATTATTGCGCCGAGAGCATCCTTAGCTTAGCTCTTAGCAATTGATGAACATAGGAAAGATGTAATACATCGCGGAAGGCGTTATGAATATTGCACACCGTTACACCGCTATTGAAACCCAATCACGCAGCTTATACATTTCGTAGCTGCATCATGTGTTATTTATACAATATCCGAAGTTTAAAGCAAAAATCAAGATCTTGTTGCAATTGAAACATTGTATTTAACAATAGAGAACGGTCAAATGCCTTTTTGATTTCGCTAATCATTTCAATCTTTTCTTTTTTTATTTTAGGTGTATTCAAAAATATTAAAAATATGTGAATTCAATACAAATAATTCTGACAATACAAATAGTATTAAAATAATTATTAATCACAGGCAACAGATAAAAATCTAAATGTAAAATATAGTGCCTATAAAAGCCAACACAGGATATAAATATGTGAAATAAAATATATTTATAAAATAAAATAAAACGTATACGTTTCAATCCTGGATTTGGGTCCTCTTCAGTACATTCTAAAGAAAATTTTTTAATTTTTTGAAGTGAAATCTCATTCTAAAAAGTGAAAATTGAAATAGTTTTGAAAGAGAGTGCTTCAATTTTCAACCTTTAAAAGTGACATTTTATTTAAAAATTTTTAGAATAAAATCTCACTTTTAAAGGTTTAGAGAGCAACAAAGATAGGAAATTACCAACTTAGAATTTTTAACATTCTAGCGAGACATAATCGTCATCTTTAGTGTCAAAGTAGATTAGTATTCGATACAAAATATTCTTTTCGTTTGTTTAAAATATTTCGAATAAGAGACAAAGTTATTTTTAGGTCAAAATTCGGTGCCACAAAAGGATTTGAGGCTGCGCCAGACTGGTGGCCTCAGAAATTCCTCCTCTTCGGGATCGTCGCAGGACGTTCGTGACGCGACGTCCAGTCCGAGACGGCCTGCAAGCTACGTGCATCCCTCTCAACTTCCTCAAAGGTAAGAGTCATGAAAACTAACACTATAAATTGTATTTAATATTAACCAAAGAGAAATCTAAAATTGAACGGTCAGCTCCTTAGGTTACCAAACAGATCACGAAGGACAGTTGCTTCAGGACAGTTTTGCTGAAGTATTTAAAAATTTAGCTAAATACAGACCTGAAAATAATTTTGTTGAACCATCAAAATAATTATGTAGGACGCTAAAACTGGTTGCTGAAATGTCAAAACTTTTTATAGCATTGCTCATCATGCTGGAGATTTCCACGTAATCATTTTAATTCAACAAAATTATTTTCAGATTTATATCTAATTTTTGTAGACACTTTAACAAAATTATTCTTTCCATATATACTAATAAATAAAATAAATAATGAAAAGGCTCTATATCTATAAAACAATACAAATATAAGAAGGGCAAAGAGCCAAGTAAAGCTCTTTACCCTTCTTATATTTGTATTGTCTAATAAATAAAGATTTTACACAGAGAGTGTTTAAATATTCATCTAGTTGCATTCGTGCTTTCTCTCTTTATTCGACACTGACTTTATAAGTATTTTTTTATATACTAAAATTATATTTCTAAATAATTTGTACTTCATCTTTGTTTTAGTTAATTACTTTTTGTTTTAGGAGATCCGTCCACTATCAGTCAACGGGCTCTTTACATTCCGATAGTCCGAGTAGTAGTAGTGTTTCTCCGGTGCCATCGCCAAGCCCTAGAGCTACACCACTGCCCGTAGCCAGGTAAGAAACCTAAACTATAATTTAATGTAAAATAATTGAATTGTTGCAATTTATGTCGTAAAATAGAAATCCAAACTTTGGACATTCTACACTGAAAGAAAAGAAAATTGGCTGCTGCAGTCATTTAGAGATGGTAAAATATGGTATATTATTTTTAATTGGCTACAGCATCCAATTTTTGGTTATTCAGCTGCTACAACCAAAAATTGGATGTTGCAGCAAATTAAAAATGCTATTCAGTCTATCTTTTTTTCAGTGTATATATTATATTAATTTTAAACATGTATGTATAATATGTATTTTTTTAATCCAACTAAATCAATTTTCCATCCCAATTGCAAGAATATAGATTGTTCTCGTTGCATTGTTAATTGTGTGTTGGGTGTATAATCCTAATAGATTGTGCATGTATGTTCTCTCTTTAGTATTATCGCCACGTTAATGAACGCTCACTGTTTAATTAGTAGCGATATATTTCAATGTTCTTAGAGCGTTATTACGACGTTATGCGATGCGTGTATATATGCATGATGCTGTTGTACGAGAATTGAATTCGATGTCTTAGATCGCCCACGGCAAGATCAAACGGACCGCCACAAAGTAGCCTAAGAAGAGCGAAGAGATGGTCGTCCACCGGCGATTTTACACATTCTCCGCAAAACCAGGGAAGCAATTCCCAACTCGTCGGTACCAGGTTAGCTCGCAGCTAATAACGTAACAGTAAAACGCACCGTTTGTCTGCTATTTGTGATTTTGTTCACATTTCACTGATCACACGAGTTTAACTTTTTGTTATCACCGTCACTGTTTTTCTTGCTTCCTTTCTCAGGCGATTGAGCGTGTTTTCTCGCCATGAAGATACCGTCTCTCGCGTTCTATTGGTTAGAAAATTACTATTTATTCGTCTTTTATACGCTGTTATGCTTTTTCTTGCATTGTATCTGCACAGATACATAGGACTTAATTCAATATTATTTTTTCTCCTAGTTAATCGTACTATGCAACTTAAAATAAAGTTTTCCGTCAAAAAACCACCATCTTTTGCGTTCTATTGATCAGAAAATTACTATTGCTTTATCTTTTATGCGTTATGTTTTTTTTTTGCATTTTATTGTATCTGCACAAGTACATTGAACATAATTGAATATTATTTTTTTTCTCGTTAATCATACTACTACAATTTGAAAAAAATTAACAAAAAAATATACAAAAAAATTAAGCTTATAGATGAATCGCAAGAAATTCAGCAATAAATTGTAGACTTCAATGTGTCACGATAAGATAAATCTGCGATTTTCAAAATCTATTTTATGAGTACTTATAAAGTAATATCTAAACCAGATTTTAAAATTATGGCTGAATCTAATTTATTCGAAAGAAAAGATTCATTAAAATAATAAATAATAATAGGCTTTGTAAGAATAAAAACAAATTGGAAAAATTGAAGGGCTAAGAGTCAGTTATGAAATAAAGAACTTTAATTTAAAAACATCATAAAGATAATAATAAAATAATAACAAACTTTTCGATGCCGATTGGGTCATTCTCAATGTTACAGTAAATACATTATAATTGTAAAACTATTAGAAATCTACAAAATATATGGTTTTTTCAGTATTCTTCATGTCCTGTATTATAACGTTGCGAGTCAATAAATTAAAATAGTCAGATTAGTTGAAAATAGTTGAAAATTCTCGGCAGTAAAACAGTAATAATCTAAAAAGTGGCCATTGACAAAGGAAAATTAAGATTCATTATTCTAAAAAAGATTATTCTAAAGATTCATTATTCTAATCCTGTCTTCTGAAATTATCCTTGAAGCGCACCGAATTGTTGAAGAATCTCTTTATCTAGACCTATCAATCAAACCTTCAAGTACGCGGGAAACACGCCGATCGCATTAGAGACGGTTCTCCATTTCTTTTCTTTTTCTTTCCTATATTGTTTTGCACCGCATGGTTTTCGTTTGCATTTTCGTTCATTATAGATTGTCTGCGTCCACCAAGTCCCTGTTCAACCTGTTCAAGCCACCGGCGATGAACAACGTCAAGCACGGGTAAATAATATACCAGAGTACTTTACACAACTTACTGCCGTATCTGGCTTCTCGTAGCCGTGTTTAGACGACCCGCCGTGCAGTGATCGCGAGGTCGCACGTGCACACGCTTCTCCGATGCACGTGCGCGCCGAACGGTCTTTAAGATGCAATTTCGTCCCTCCGCAGGTGAGCGCGCACGGTAAAGACCTCGCTTAAAACACGGGCGTTAAACGCACGTGTAGAATTTCCTGTGGGTTATCGCCGTGATAAATATCTGCATGACACACGATCTGCGGGATATGCGATCGTTGAGGCGGTTGATCCCGATCTCACTTCGTAGATTACGGATAAAATTTATCTATATCTCTTTACAAGTGAATAATCGGTGGAATATTGAAAGAGGCTTCACGAATTTTTAAATAGCGCTAATTATTTAATAAAAAATATCTTGATTGTTTTTTTAATTAATTTCATTAAAATCTTTTTAATATTTTTCGATTCTTTGTCAGACATTTCGCAAAAATTGTAAGAGATGCCTGCCGTAGAATTTATGAGTAAAGATTTTGTTAAAGTTTTCTTAAAATCGTAAAACACATTCCACAATAAACCATTACTTAAAATTTTAAAATTTAAACCGTACGAATTTAACTAATCACAGTTGAATGTGAGAAGAGTAATCGACTATAACCAGTTAATTTCTTACGGCTTAAGATTTAAAGTTTAGGTAATGGCTTATTGTAGAAAGCCTATAATACTTTATTAGTGCCACACGTATTACGATTTGTAAACAGATAAAAAGATGATAATATAAGAATATATAAATATGAGGCTAAATCAATCTTATTGCACTTATAATTTTTATAACCTAGTAATGAAGAGTTCACTTCTCGTACTAACGAGTACTAATTTTTAGCGTTTGCCGATTCGTCGATCGGTATAGCAATGAATACCCGTTAAACGAAAAGTTATTGTACCGCATGCGTTTGCACGTAGCACGGCACGTATATATTATCACCGCATTGGCACGCCGTTAATTATTGCAATACACGTTACTTTCGACCTTCAATCTTGCATGCAAATGTCATGCACAGATTTTCTTGAGGCTGTGAAATTTCCAGCTTGGCAGAAATGCAGTTCAAAGGGGCGTGCATACCTGATGTGATACTGTACGAAACGTAAAAGCTATAGCATTATGAATTTAAATGTCACACGTAAGATTGTATTTGCATCGTTGTTCGGACCACGATCAACATTAATCGCATGCTTTAATCGCATTCTCATAGAAACTATGTGATTATTTGTTTTGAAACTGATACGCGTAGCGGAAAGTCTCTTATCGCGCCTACAATACTTCTCGCGCTAATAAACTGAACAAAGAATAAAACATTACAATTTATATTTTACGTTGTGAGAGCAATTTAACAGTAATACAATAGTAGTACTATAACATGATCTTGCAGTACACATATAAATGTAGAAGATATTCCATGATGTCACATAGAAGACAAGTAAGTGGTATCATCTGTGTGTAGACTTTATTTATTGTAATCGTGTAAATAAATGTTATTAATTTAGCAAAGTTAATAGATACTTTATAGTCGGATATTATGATCGTCTTTCTTTTGTAAACAAAAAGATGGCTGAAAAATCGCCTATCCGAAGACGCTTTCAAGGAGCGTTGTTTTTTTTTTTGCCGACGTTTCCGGCGTGCTCGTGACGCCGTGACGTCGTACACACCAGGAAACACAGTACGCATGGTTGTGCAACAGCAGGAGTAATCGCGATTCACTTTCTTCGGTAACGCAATGGCGCGCTTCGCACTAGGACGTTAAATGAGCCGTTAACCACGTGGTCCTCTTTCCATACCTGTTACCTTCTCGCATCATTCAACGTCAAAAATGCAGTCGGAAGTGCTTTACCCTTGCCTGCTCGTTGCATTGTTATATGAGTGAACTACTTCATTTGAATTTATTGATCAGATGAAATAAATAACACTATGAGAATATATGTATTATAAATAAGTTAGAATACTTTTTTGATGATAGCGTGACGATCTGTATAATCATTTTTGTATGCAATTTTTTTTATATAGGAATTTTTTATATAGGAACTGACTTGTAAAAATATATAATTGTTTATTATAATTAAGGATTGCTTCAATTAGTAAAGAGAATTTCAGTTTTTCATGTACAAAGGTTTTTTTTTACAAAAAATCTCGAATTAACTAAAACAATTATAAATTGAAATTAGACTAACGAGAGACTAAATCAATTAATAGAAATAATATTGTTTTCGATCTTAGTGCTTAATAATATTGAATACAAATTTGAATACAAATGTTATTTCAGTTTTTATAAACTGCACACTTGCACGGTTTATCAGACTTGAAATTTATTAATTAAAATTCGTAAATGTTATAATAAATGTGAAAGCAAAAGTAGCGAAGGTCTCGAATTCGAGTTTCATGAAGAATTTGGTCAAGGCTACATACAATTCTCCACTATCTTGTTTTGCATCACATTGATTCGCTTTTGCTCCGTATTTATTTATTGCATGCGTCTTTTATACAATTTCATTCATACTATAACGATGCACATTAAAGAATCAGAATCCTTTTCATAAAGATATAAATCATAAAATCAGTGGAGCTTTGTTGAAACACGTTTTATGATTCAAAAAATCGAGATAAAGCGATTGAAGATTGCACGCTATTTACGCGTTGCTTTATCAAGCAACCCTCCTCGTCCTCAATCGTGTAAATCAGATTAAAACAAATCTAAAAACCGTGATCGAACTCGACAAGAAAATAGTTCATGCACGATAATGTGACATCAGAAAGAACAAAAATAGAAAAAATAAAAATTGACGTAACAGCTCACATGCTACTTCGATCGCGGAATAATAAAGCCGACTCATTATTCGCGTGAGTCATTCGTCGCGGTTACCAGACCTCATCAACACAGAAAGCCTGGTGAATTCGTTCAGTACAGTACGAACAGTGCGATCAGAGAGTACGTCGGTCGATATATAAGAGCAGGGTCGAGCAAAGCTCTTACGGAATTCATACAAAGTGAAAAAAATCGTCGTTATTATCGATTTGCAACACGTAAGAAAAACTTTATTTAATGTAGCTATAATCGATCGATTTTAATCGATCATCGTAGGATACAAAATTCTCTCGAATAGTATAGACACTAGTTGAATGATATTTTAAGAAAAGTAAGAGAATTTTAAGAATTTTTTAATATATAAAATTTAAATGTGTAGAATATATATATATATATTCTACTTGTGAAAAAATTTATTGATTGGATATGTGTGTGTGTATATATTATATATATATATATACACATATCTAATCAATAAATTTTTTCTGTTAGCAACATATTATTATACACACATATAAAGAAAATAATATGTTGCCAACAGAAAATTTATTGATTGGACTGCTCGAATATATTTTTCTTCGTGAGAAATTCATCTTGTAAAAATAATTTCCGTTAACAATTTAGGTTTTGGAAATGTAAGATTTAGACGCAAAATAAATTTAACGATAGGAACAAATAAGCAAACATAAACAAGCGATTTCTTTATAGTACTAGAGACATGCAGTACAACGAGGAGGAAGGCACCGTCCGCATGTATCTGCGCGGTCGACCAGTAATTCTTTACGTCCCCACATCCATGATGGAATCCTACGACCTTCACAAAGTTAGTACACCGCCGCAGAGCAAATTGAAGCTCGACTGGGTCTACGGTTACCGCGGCCGCGATTGCCGTAGCAATTTACACCTGCTGCCAACCGGCGAGATCGTATATTTTGTCGCGGCTGTTGTTGTTCTGTATAACATGGAGGAACACAGCCAGAGACATTACTTAGGCCATACAGACGATGTTAAATGGTAAGTGAGAAGTTGGGAAGAATAATGTGGTGATATTAAGTAGTTTTTGTGAAGAAAAATATTACAGTAATATAATTAAATATCTGATGAATAATTATTTAATCGTTGATAACTCAATCAATGTATTAAATTCGATGATACAAATATACCTATATTAAATATAATATCTTAGATGTTTTAAATGCCTTTCATATTTTTAATAATTCTATTTAATACAAAATTTTAATACAATACAATTTTAATATTTAGAAAGGACAGAAATAAATTTATTAAATTTTTTCTCATAACAATAAAAGAAAATTAAAATTTCTAAAATATTCTTTAACCACTCATATATAAATATATTATAACAAATTACGGAAAATTATATTAGGCAATATCAATTAATTTAAATTATTAAATAATTGATTTAATATTTTTTTCATACAGCATAGCTATTCATCCAAACAAATTGGTTGTCGCAACAGGACAGGTGTGCGGAACGGATCGTCGGGATGCTATGGTAAGATTATCAAAATAAGAAAGTATAATATATAAAATAAATTTAAAAAAATCAAATGTCATTCTAACTCTATACAATAAAATGTAACAAATAATATACAAAATACTATAAGATGGTATCTTGAATTTTAGCCACACATTAGAATATGGAACTCCGTGAGCCTGACGACTCTTAGCGTAATTGGCAATGGCGAATTTGACGGATCGATTTGCTGTCTGTCATTCTCCAAGGCCGATGGCGGGAATTATTTGTGTGCCATCGATGAGACTTCCGATCACAATATATCGATCTGGGATTGGCAAAAGAGCGATCGTGGCACCAAAGTAACCGAAACGAAGGTATTGCGATAATCTAACATGCGTAATGATGCAAATTAGAATATTGCAGCATATACATATAATGCTGTAAATGATTCGCGTATATGCTGGCCGGAAGCAGACCATTTAACGGCTGATGATTGCCGATTGCAGTGCTCTGTCGACACGGTGGTTTGCGCCGAGTGGCATCCGCTGGAACGTAACCAGATCGTCTCTTGCGGAAAAGGACACGTGTCTTTTTGGTCCCTGGACAACGGCGGTATGCTGTATAAACGTATGGGCATCTTCGAGAGCAGAGATAAGCCCAGATATGTTACCTGTGTCGCCTTCAATCAAAACGGGGACGTCCTCACCGGTGACAGCAATGGCAACATCATCGTTTGGAGTCGAGGTAATCTCTTTAGCTATAATTACGGTACCTCGTATTTTCGCTAAATTTTACAAAAAAAAATCTTTGCTTTACGCTATTAATTAAAAAATTGATTATAATAATTAAATTAATTCATTCCTTAAATAAAAAATATATCATTTATCTCTTTTTATTTTCAGGTACTAACACAATCTCAAGGCTAGTGAGGAATCTCCATGAAGGATCGATTTTTTCGATATGTGTTCTGAAAAATGGTAACATTATTACGGGAGGCGGGAAGGACGGCAAGATTTTGTATTTTGATGCCTCTTTGAATCTAACGGGAGAAGAAGCTCAGGTAAGTCGAAGAAACTTTAATTTAATACGAAATTTATTTGCACGATTTTTTTCAATTATTATATTTTCCGATATTGAAAGAATAATGAAATTTGTTCGGTAGATCGAAGATCATTTCGGTGGGATTCGTACGCTCTCGGAAGGAAGAGGCACTCAGTTATTAATTGGCACGACGAGAAATTGCATTCTTGTTGGCGAGAATGATATGGGTTTCAATCCTGCAATGCTGGGTCACGCTGAAGAAGTTTGGGGACTTGCAGCCCATCCAACTTTACCTCAGTTTGCTACCGCGGGACACGATAGGTTGTTACAGATGTGGGACAGTTTAAGTCATACTGTGGTGTGGAGCAAAGACATCGGGGTACATATGGCGTTTATTTATCTAGTAGTACACTGCTCCTGTTATCTTGCCAAGAAAGCAAATACATTTTAAGGACTATAAAGATTTTGATACATAAATTTTAATTAATTTAAATAAACCGCGAAAATTAAGATGAGCAATGTGTTTTCTTATTACCTTTGAGAAAAATGTACAGAAACAATATTTACTTCATATTAATTTCCATTTCTAGAAATATTAAAGAAATATTTAAAGATATAACATTGGTTGATAAAATAAAACACAATTTAATCAATTAAAATATATAATTTTTTCAATTTATATATATATAAAATTACATGTAAATTAAAAGATAATATAAAACCTTATTAACTTTTATGCATTGTTTAGGAGCAAGCACAAAGTATCACCTTTTCACCGGATGGTAGTATCATAGTCGTAGGCTGTGTGTCCGGGAAATGGTTGGCAATTGATAGCGAGACGCGAGAATTGTACACACACCATAGTGATGGTTCCGAACCTATTCAGGTACGTTAATATTACGCTAACTTGTGTAATTATAGCTTTAAAATTAATAAAATCCAATTTTATAAAATTAGTTCAGTCGGATGATTCCATCATATTTGGTAAAATACAAATAAATCTATGTAACGTAGAATAACGATATAATATAAAAATGTACATCAAAAAATAATTTTTGCGTCTCATTTCATATTTTATTACATTGTGCTCATGATTTTCAGGTCGTTCAATTCTCGCCCGACGGTTCCTTGCTTGCTCTCGGCTCCAGAGATAATTATATTTATATTTACCAAGTAAACGAGGTCGCAACCAAGTATAGTCGAGTCGGACGATGTATGGTAAGTTGTTATTAATGCTATATTATCTTATTACATCATTAAAATTATATCTTTCATGAGTGTGAGTGTGTGTGTTTGTTGAATAGAATTATATTTTTATAAACTTAATGCTACATATATCTTAAACCTCAAATGTATTTTTTATGTCCATGATGTTATATTACAAACTTTGTTATTATGTTATAGATTATTATATTTGATTAACATTTCTTAATACAATTTTATTTTAAAATTGTAAAATCTTACTATAATACATTTGAGATTACTTCTTACTATGCTATAAATAGCAAACGTGTGTAATATTTTTACTTTTATAAATATAATATATATATATATATATAATTAATAATTAATCACGAATAGCATTCCTTAATAATTCATTGATTTAAGATCCGTATTAATATTTTACTTTTATCGATAAATGCGCGCATTTAGAAAGTAATTTACATTACGCATGCTATAGTCTTTCAGAAATAAATGTGCACATCTATCAAAGTGAAATATTAATACGGATCTAAATCTTATGATAAAAGTAATTGTTTTACCTGCAATAAAAAAATGATTTTTATTTATTATTTAATTCGTTTTTAACTTTTTACAAGAGATTTAGTCATTTTTTTCTATGTTATATTGTGTATATTCAGATATATGTTTGAAATAATTGAGAAGTGTAAATAACTGTAAATAATTTATAAATTGTAAATAATTGAAACAATTATTTATAAATATGTAATTTAATTAGTTTTATTAAATGATATAAATATAACGAAATACATTTCATTAGCAATATCTCTAAATATTCTTAAGCTTAATAATACTTAATACAATTCTTTTCCATTTCTAGCCAAAGCGGATTCGAAGGCACGGAGTAAGACTTGTGTTTCGGCCACTCGGAAACGTAGAAGGAACGTCGTGTTGCGCAGAGAAAAAAATGATTAAAAATATTTAACTTTTCATATATAATTAAAAACGCAACGCGACGTACCTCGCTTTAGTCTTATCGTAGAATACCATTATACTTACGTAGCTAAATTCCCATTTAACTTCTTAGCACCCGCACGCACAATTAAACATTGCTTGCAAAGTACTGTAATTATAATGTGATAGATGATAGAATTGTGTTGTTAATTTGTATCGTGACACACTGATTTAATATAAAACACTGATTAAATTTAATACTTTATAGTTAGCGACAAAAACGCAAGATCTGCAATAGCTTATTGTGATAATGAGTGTACGTATTGCGTGAACATATAAACTTTTTTTATTTCAGGGACATTCCAGCTTTATAACTCATTTAGATTGGTCCGTGGACGGTCAATATTTACGCAGCAATAGTGGAGATTACGAATTGCTCTATTGTAAGTAAAATTACAATTTAATTGACTCAAAATATAAAATAAGGTATAACGACATTTTGCGACAAATCGAGACAAAGAAGAAGGAAAAGGAAAAATAGCAGACTGTTATTGAAAAGGATCAAGAAAAGATGTCTGTGACATGTAAAACCTCATTCATTAGTATGTTGATATTGAATACTAAAGCAAATGGAAAATACCAGTCCTAAAAGACTGTAAAAATATGACGTGTGTCTTGAGAATGTGTTTTCTTTGTTCTTTCAATTCTTTGTGTTTTTGTTACTCTCAAGAATCAGCTGAGATATTAATAGAAGTTTTAATATTTTCTGAGAATCATTGTTTTATTTCCAAGGATTGATCTAGTCGAGAATACTATAATTTATAATCATATTTGCTTTCTCAAATATAAGAAGTTAATAGTTTCTTTAGTATAAGTTGTTTATTTTTTCAGAATTTTTTATTTAGATTTTTGTATGTTTTAATTGTAAAACTAGCAAATCTTTTTGTTAGAAAGATTTTGTCTCTTTCTATACTAATTTATTAAGTTATTAAAAGATTACGTCTCAGAGAGAAACTCAAAGTTTTTAATCTTTATATTTATACTCTACCCCCATTGAAAATTCTCGTCATTTAAATTTTTGAAAAGAAATCAAAATTTTTTATCTTTTCTGTATTTCCTCTCTATATCATAAATCTTGGAAAGAATTTTTGTTTTCCTCATGTTTTCTTTATCTTTAAAAACAAATTGTTTTTTTTTAGAGATTACATTAAAATCTCATTAGCAAAGTAATTACTTGACATGTGCGTTGTGCTCGTTTCTCTCGCATCTCAGGGATTTCGAATTGCTTAAAGAAAAAAATCGTGAAGCGAGATACAACACATCACACACACATACATGATGTATGAAATACAATATGATAACGAAATGGAATACAAAAAATATGTATATATACTTACAGTATAATATATAAATTGATTTTTTTTTTTAATTATTTGATATAATAAGACTCAATAAATTAAAATATAAATTTAATTTAAAAGACTACGAGTCTAAACTGGATTTTAAGTTGCTATTTATAATAATATAAAACAATTATGTAAATTACAAACTCTTTCTACTCTTATCGGGTCATCATCAGTGTAAACAATACTTAAAGTTAGCGAGTACAAAAATATCTAAGCTTTAACATTTTCTAATATATAATAAAACAATAATAAAATTCCAGATTGTTTCGTACTTAAAAATAAAATGATTATTTAACTTTCCAATTATTAGATCTTCAATTATTTTTATTTTTTTAAATAACTTATAAAACATATAATTATAATCACTAATTACAGATAACTTTTTTATTTATATACATATATAGCATGATAGAAAATTGAATTAAAAATGTAATTAAAATACAGTTAATATTAAATAACAATATTGCTCCAAATTAAGAACATAATATCAATAAGACATGTGACTTTTTCTAATTTTCAGGGAATCCTGGTGTGTGCCGCCAAATTCCACAGTCTTCGATGCTGAGGAATGTTGATTGGGCAACTCATACCTGCGTGATATCATTTGAAACAATAGGCATTTGGCCGGAGGGTGCCGATGGAACTGACGTGAATAATTGCACGCGAAGTGGTGACGGCAAACTATTAGCTACCGGTGATGATTTTGGAAAAGTCAAATTGTTCTCTCATCCGGTATGCCAACCGAAGGTAATTTAAATTATTTTAAATTATTTTATATTATTTTATATTGCACTCTGTACTTTTAAATCTTCTTTCGGAAATTGTTAACGAATGTTGCATATGAAGGAGTACCTATATTAAAATCTTGTAAAACTTTTTTTAGTCACTATACCATTCCTATGGCGGTCATTCGAGTCACGTAACAAATGTCTCATTCTTGCAAGATGATTCCCGATTGGTATCAACCGGCGGCGCCGATACCAGTGTTCTTCAGTGGATAGTAAATTAAGCAAGTTATTTTCGAGCGAGTGATTTTTAAGTGCACTTCAAGTTTGAATTTAGAAGATAAAAGAATGTCAACATCGCATCGTTTAAAACTAAAGATTGCACGATTTACTTAATTGCGACTAAGCTTTACGGATTCTATTGAAAGAATTGACGACGGAATCATCTTAACATCTCAAGTTCCCGATATTTAAACATCATTTGTCGCACGAAAAATATTTAATCATGATGAACATTATATAAGCAGATTCCACTTGTTTAAAAGTGGAAAATCAAACTGACTCAACTTCTGAACAATACTTTTATCATCAAGCGCAAGATATTCATAGAATATATACTATCGTACGTGTAAAGCAACTCAATGCACCACGTGTGCGAATGTGTTTCCTTCTCGTATCAGTATATGTGATAGCACCGATGTAACCTTTTCTTACCATTGTGTCCAACGTGCATAATATTAACAGAAAAGCGATCTGTGTGGACAAATAATAATCGATATAATTAATCTGATTGTGAGAACAACTTTCGGCACAATACATTTCTTGTTAACTATATTTACTATTTACGTTAACATTATTAATCCAAGAATATTTTATATGACGCCTTGCTGTAATACATCTGTGTGTTTATTTTCTAATTTTTGCAAATGTATTCGGTATTTTTGTCTTTCTTTTAGGTGAATAGGCGATTAATGGTAATCGCGAAAGTTATAAAAAGAATTTAATTTAATTTTCAGTTTTTGGTTGATTCATATATACAAAAAGCTCTACGAGTGGTCTTTATATTATACAATATTCTTGAATAATATGGATGTATATTTTCTATTTTTGTGAAAATATTGTAATGCGTGTAGTGCGTACATAGTATATTGAGCATTAATAAACGAACATAGACTTTGTAATAAAAACTGTTATATAAAACAAATAGAGAGCAAAGTAATCATAATATACTCTCCGATATATTATTTTATATTGTATAAATATTAATATACTACATGGTTCAGTTTTGTTCAAGCAAAATCAAATACCTGTTTCGAAATATATAACTTCCATTTTATTTCATTTATTAATTTCACATATATTTTATATATATTATGCTATTTCAAACAGGAATTAAATTACATTTATTTATCTAAAAAATTTGAACGTATCGATACATAAATAAACGATATACTTGTACGTGCATATGCATAAGTATATTATACAAAGTATTTTCGAACACATATTTGTCTTAAATATGTTCTGAATACGCAGTATTGCGAGAGATCTAAGGACGAATCTCGAGCGGAGAAACTTTCTACGAAGAAAACGTAGGAAAATTCGTCGTGAACGAAAAACTAAGATTTTTCGCGGTCAGATATATGAAAATGAAATAAAGTCAGAAGGAGAAGGTCCTAAGCTTGCAAACAACCCGACATTGAGTCCGATTGCGCGAAAAAAAAGCGAATAACTCACAGTGCCGTAATATGCCGTCCAATAGAAAAGTACATAGCATAACTCGCAATTTAACGAGTATGCTTTGACGGACTTTATCATGAAAAAACAAGTAAGATGACAGAAACGGACGATGACAGAAATACTTTTCGAATATGTACGCCTATGGTGAATGTATATATGAGAGCTGGGATCACATAGCGTCTCTTCGACGCGTTTCATATACATATATATGCCTTCTGTCCTTTATCTCTTTTTTGGCATGAAGTATTTTACCAAAGTCTAACAGAACAAGAATAATCATTTTATTTTCATTCATCGTCAAAACATCGTGTAAGATATATCTATATATTTTATTTATGTCACGGTAACGTGTATGCGTATATATCATATGTATGTACTTTCAATAGATAATAAATCATCTTTAAAATAATACCACACAATGATATGAATTTATTGTACAGCTATAATATTTTTTAATGTAATATGATAAGAACTAGTAAAAAATTGAGAAATTAATTAAGGAGGTCCTATATTCAGCTTATAAAATGTTTGCAATATTAAAAATTAAGTGATAGTCCAATGCCATATGCCGAATGATATGAAGAATTGCACACATCGGAAACGACAGTAAAATATTGTACTACTAAATGAGAGAGCCCCAAAAACAATTTTATCATTTCATCAATATTCATATGAAACCAATACCATTAAGCAATGCTTCTTCATTTTCTCGTTATATATGAGAGAAATCCTAAATCTAAATCATCTAATAATAAAATTAAACTATAAATTATAATAATATAAAGAATTTTTAACAATAATTAATTATTATATAACTGTAATATATTAAATATATAAATTTTTAATTAGAATTTTCTCGTTTTTTATAATGCAAAGTATAAAGAAAAACGGTTTAAATCGAACAGTGTAATAAGATTTTTTTAATCAATAGTTTACAATATTACTAAGAAACATAAAATGAAAATATAAAAAATATATAACAAAAACTGATTTGTTGCTTCTTTTCCGTGATGCTAATCAATTATTTCAATTCATATCGTAAACAACTGTCACCATATGTTTTGACCATTCATATGTTGAACATATTTTCATGTCAATAAAAATTAACAGTTAATTAATTTTAATTTAAACATTAATATAAGATTCATTGATTAAATTTTAAATTAAACGTGAAAAATTTGTTTAATTTACATATTTTATAAGTTAAAGCTTTAGAACTTCAATTTTGTAAATATAAAATCTATAAAATAAAATCACTAAACTTTCAAAATTGAATAAATCGAAATGATTTGATTATAAATTTTATAGAAACAACAATAATCAACCTTTTAAATAAAAATTGTTTTATTAATAAAATTTTTAATTAAGGTTAAAATAAAATATTTAAAACACATTCAGAAATTTTTCAATTTTTATATTATTGTCATTTTATATTATCAACATTGCGTTTATATATTATTAAAATTATTTCCATTTTTATTTGCTTATAAGAGAGTAGTTTAATGTTTTAAATAGATATCTCTTCGCCGACATAGAAAAATTTTTTATATAAACGTTCGAATGACGATTTTTATGGCAACACGTTAGGAAAGACGGCGCCAAATATGATTTAAATCGAAAGCGGTGAAAGTACTGACGTTTAATACTGATTAAACTTCAAGGTCGTAAGCAAGACAGAAAGAAACGCGACAAAAAAGGTCAAGGTTGCGTGGGAATGAAAGCGTATCCTAGTTCGCGAAGTGAATTTTCCAAATCGATCGCGTCACATTTGAAGAGCCGCCTCAATCGAGCTCTTTTCGCATCTAGCACCTCTTTCCGACTGGGTTTACTTCCTGAAGATCTGACTTCCTTCTGCGAACAATGTTGATTTTTTGACGAAACGCATACGGTATCGATAACTACTTTCGTTTCATTCGCTTTCTTTGGCCTACAATCGAAGATTGATAACACTATTAGAGTTTTCAATAATATTATTAATTTTTGTATGTACTTAAATGTGTAATTTAAACAGAAATGCAATTAAATGTAATTAAATTTAACTTGATGTGTCTGCAGACTGAGAAAAGAAATTGTGAAATAAGTTCAATTAGTGATTTCTCTTGTTAAACAGATGTCAAGTTAACAAATATTAATTCGCCAAATTCTTTTAATTCGTTATGTGTATCATTTAACCTCCACATTTTATAAATATTCCAATGAGCTCAGCTAAATATAAATATGATAAAAATACTAAATATCTTTATTTACAATCGCTGTTAAAATTATGTGTCGCCAGGAAACCGAGATAACCTCGGGACTGCGAGGCAAGACGGCCACGATCGTAAAATTTACGTTCACGCGAAAGAGAAACTTACAATATTGTCGGTGTAACGATCGGTGCTTGGGACCGCTCGCAGGAGGCGTTGGCCGACATTTCTTTTCACGTGATTACAAAAATAAATTTCTAACAGTGACACGAGAGAGTTTGAAAAAGCCTGTGAGAATTTCAAGAGGGTTTACTTCGATGCGTTTCTCGACAGGGTCCCCGAAGTCACTTTCAAAAATAACTTCGTTTACGGCAGGATCGAATTCGTTCGCTTTATAAATAATCTCGCTTTGTTGGACGACGTGTGCGTTGCCGACAGCCATGAATGAACGTAAACCCGCGAGCTGTTCCCTTCGTTCGTTGGAGCGCCACGCCGCCGTGCGTTGTCATTGCCGTTCACTTTGCTCAACGATCGACGGGTGCCTGATAAATTACACATTAATTAATCCTTCGCGTGAGACGTGTAAAAAGTGCACGTACGTAAAAATGCTTAATCGATCACGAAACAATTTTCTTAAACGTAGGTTATTCAAAATAATTCTTTTATAATAACCATCTAGGTATACATAATTATATTTTATTTTTAGGTATAAAAAAGACATGAAATTTCATGTAAATGTAACGGAAGCAAATTTCAAGCAGGTACATTGAAATCGTTAAATCTAAGTTATTTATAATTTCATGCTCATTGTGACAACATTGTAAGATTTTAATGTACCTGCTTGAAATTTGCTTCTGTGAAATTATGAAATTTAATGTAAATATTTTTAACAGTGGGTAATGTATTCAGCTTTAATTTGTTACTAATAATAATTTAAGCAATCAGAAACAGAAAATGTAAAAATGTCTATAAATCACTATTTGCTAAATATTATTGAAACTGTTTATTATGTATTCAACATGTCTCAAAAACAACTTCTACATAGTATTTATTGCGTAATATTATTTTCGGTTGAATAGTTATCAGTCTGACGTAATAATTATATTGAATGCAGTCTGGGAATGAATGGGCAACAAGATGAAATTCGGATTCATTATACCAATAAAAACCATTTATTTTCTGACCGAGGCAAACGAGATTGCATTCTAAAAAATAACGACGACGTCTATACTTCTCAGATTTAATTCGAGTCGATCGAAGCGGTCTGTCGAATAGTTTTGAAACAACACATTGCCGTCTCGCCGAACAGTTAAGCACTTCTGGATCCGCTTGGCCACTCGGTCGTTCGAGTCATCGATCATGCTTAATTGCATCCATCGTCCGCATCGCCGATATCACCCTGTCATGTGCTAATACATTATGCACGTCTAGTGATCGAGATTCAAATAACGTAGCAAAAAGAAAGACAAAGAGAGAGGGAGAGAGAGAGAAGGGAAAAGAAGGAGGATATGTGTATTTAAGAAAAATTCAAGAGTCATTTATCGAGATGGCTGTTCCAATTTAGAGAAGTGATATTAATCAATGTATTGCGAAAGAAGTGCAATGAAAAAATCTCACTAAAAATGACGTCATGATGCCCCGATTTATATACAAGTTTCACACTCACAGTAATTCGTGTTGAGAGCTCATTATCGCGCGGCGATTCTTCTGCTTCATATGACACTCAGCAGGATTCGTGATTATATAAGCGCACGCATTGTGTTTCCCCTGACTTCGAATAAGAAAAATTGACTCTGTGAATTTTAACCAACTGATTGAAAATCCGATAAGACTATTTTTAGAGCGTTACAGAAAAAACAGTTCATTTCGTTAGAATATTTATAAAGTATTACTTAATGTTTCGTAAAATCAAGTTGCTTCGCAAAGTTCTCACGAGAAAATTGTGTTAAATTTTT